ATCGGGGGCGGTTTAAATTTGCGGGGGCGGGGGCGGGGAACGTAAAACCCGCCCCCGCCCCGCCCCGTTGCCATGCCTACCTGGAGTAGTACAGGGATGGGTGACCTTTTGAGAAGTTTCTCAAAAATTGCACAAGTAAAGATAAAACACGCTAAACAGTGAAATATCTTGAAATAAAACGCTTGAGAGGCCAAATATGAGGATTGTCACATTAATAAAAAAAAAAGGCAAAAATTTAGTAACTTTTTTTTTTGGTAATACATAGCAAAAAAGGCAAAAATAAAAAAAAGAGGACACAAGAAAACTAAACTCTCCTAAACAAAACACCCGAACCATCTACTTGAAGCAGAGGCTGCAACTCCACAAGGATGTCGTCAATGATTACCAGCTTGTTTCCACAATTTGGACCTCACCTGGACAGAAAATCAGCACATTGGTTACCTTCACGTAAGGAGTGCAGCAACGACGTCCTTCACTCACAACCCAACAATTTTAGTAACTTAAAATGAATTGTTTAGAGTGGAACAATTAATTGTTAATTAGAAACTGATAATCAATTGTTTGAAATTGTTTTTTTTTTCTTACACCAATTAATAAAAATTGATTATCCATCGTGATTGAAAATTACTTTTTTCAATATTATATACACTTCAAAAATCTATTATGAACAAAAATAAGAAATTATCTTGTCGAGAGAAGTATTTTACTATTCATTTCATGCATTTGAAAAAAGAAATGACGAGACACACATTTTTATTTATTTTCTCTATATCAATCTCATGGCATTTATAATTTTCTTCTATTTTCATTTTTTATTTTCCATTTCTGCTGCATTTTTCTTATCCTAAATAAAACATAGAAAAAATAGGAGAAGTAAAGAATAACAGCGACTATTTTTATGATATTATTTGATTTAGTAATAATTGATCATTAATTAATCATCATTGAGTTATAATTCAAAAGTCTTGTCAATCCATTTTCTTTTTTATGGTACTATTAAAATTGTAATTTGGTGACATGGAAAGGAATATGTAAATGCAAGCACTTTTTAGTTTTGTGGGTGAAGAATGCAGGTGATGCATGCTGGTTTTGTTGCATTTCACAATGTCAATGCCAATAGAATTTGTTTGAGTGTAGACAGTACGGCTCGAAGCCTCATGCTCATGCGCTGGTAATGCAGGTCGGCGCCTTCCCCTTTCTCTCAATTCTCTAAACATATTAATCATCACTGTCCCACTCTATTAAACAATTCATCATGCTTCATACCTTTATTCAATCTCCAATTAGAGTCAACCCTTCTTCAATTTTCTCTCCATCCCTTTTTCTAAATGCACATTATTTTAGGAAATACTCACGTAAACCTAAGAGTCACCTAATAATATTATATTATATGGCTAGTAGTATTATTTACAATCTATATTCACGGCTGTTTTTATTAAAAAAAATATATATATTACTAGTAGTACAAATTTTCATGGGGTAAATAAAATCTTAATACGAAAAGAATAGAAGTACGATCACGATGTGGTGGCGCTGTGTTCCCCTTCATCGGCACATAATGTTTGAGGCCACATGATTATTTTTATGGAAATCCGATCAAGTCACCTCTTTTTCACCATCCAAAATCTCTCTACCTCAATAAACTATCTATACAAAACTTTATGCAATTAATAGAAATAAAATTAGAAAAAATTTTAAATAAAAATTTATAATTTGCATTATTTAAGTTTATTTAATCTAACTTATTTAATAAAAAAATAAAATTTAAACTTTAAAATAATAAAAAAATTAAATTTAGACTTTTCAATCAGTCAATTTATTTAAAAATAATAATTTAAACTTATAAAAAAAAAGTCTGTCAAATTTATAAAAAAAATTATTTATTTATAATATATATATATTATATTATTAA